AAAAAAAAATAAAATACAATAATAATAATTAGAATGTAAGTCTAAAGTTATAAATAAAAAAAAAAGTATATAGATAATTTCTGAGAATTAATTTTAATTCTTTCTTAGTTCAAAAATTGTAATTTTTTCTCTTAAGCAATTTAAAGATAATGGCAAAACTAGTATACATCTATAATCCTAATCGATCCGCATCTACAATCAATGAAGAAATTCTACTCTGCCTTAACTCAACTCAACTGTATCATGCCCATCTCCGCAATAGTTACAGGGTATGCATACAAATAAAAATAACAAGCAACATAAGGAATGAAAATGAACAGAAACAGAAACAGAAACCGAACACTAAAGGGCTGCAACAGTGGCAACAGCAGCAGCAAGTGGGCCAAGAGGAATTATGTTGAGCAGGCGGGGCTTGGGGGCGTGACAAGAGCTGCTTGCGGTCCAATGTCGAACACATTACAAGCAAAAACACTTTTGACAAAAGGAGGCGCCAGCGAAAATAAACAAACAAATGGCAAACGAAACAAAGACAGACAAATGATAAAGACAGCAAAGGCCGGACTAGGGGAAGAGCGGCCAGGCGAGGGGAGTGGGGAAGGAGGAGGGCAGAGAGCACCAGAGATTGCGTGGCAGATAGGCGCGCGCTCTCATGATGCGTGTGGGCTAAAGGCTTTCAAGGACTACAACATTAAGCAAAAGAATTTGTGCATGAACAATGCCCGAAAAAATAAAGAAGAAAAACGAGGGAGAAAAAAAAGAAAAGCTCAGTTAAGAGGAGCTCGACTTTCGTAGAAGGTGAGCAACAATAATAACAAAAGTTAGGCTATCAACGACCGAGCAATACTCTTGAGGCTTAAATACATTTCGGATTTCTAGGAATTTTCTCACTCGAGTTGATTTGATCAGTCAAGTGGCTCAAAGCCTCAGGAATGGTAGCTTAAGAAGATATATAATCTTTCAGGCGCTTATAACTAATTTGGAATATTCAAAGAAAATGAATGAAATGGAAACTTCATATGAGTACTTATGCTATTATGCTTTAAGCACAGATAACGTGGCATTAGAGTACTGTTTCTATTAGCGATTACTTAAGCGATATTCATCGTCGACTAGCAACTATCGTTTAGCGAATATCAGCTGTGGCTTGGTTAAGGGCTATCAACTATGTACTATAAGCTATGGGAAATTGACTATCGGCTATCGATTATGGGCTATCGACAATGAATACATCGCTATGGACTTTCGACTACGGCTATGATAATTAGGATTTTACCTAATGAATATCAGAATGAGTCATCGACTACCTTCAATCGACTATCGGCTTGCATGTATCTGCTATCGGTCATGGGACATCAACTTCAAACTACTACTCCAACTATGGACTACTTGCTATCTATCTACAAACTCACAGAACCAGAGAGCTTCCAAAGTTTGTCTAGCCAGATAGTTAGATGAGCTTAGCAGTCAGTGCCCATATACTCCTTAAACGGCTTGTGTAGGGAGCATAACAAGTGCACACACACAGACGCACACACGGATATGAAGAGGGACAGCAAGCGCCGCTTTCAAACGGATGTCATTAAGGTGTGCGTGTGAGTGAGGCTGTATGTGTGTGTGAGTGTGCGAGTGTGCATGAAAATGAACTTCTGCAGGCGGAAGTTGATGCAGATGCAGCATGCAGCAGCAGTTGCAGATGCAGCTGAAAAGTATGCAGCACAAATGCACAGTTCGATGCGTATAAAAGTGAAAGGGGGGGCAAGTGGGGCGAGTGGGGCAAGTGGGGCAAGTTCGAGCAAAGGAAACGAAGGCACAGATGGATTTTTTGCTGGTTGCAACGTGCCAGACGGCATGCTGATGATGAGTTCCGGGTAAAAGAAACCAATTTGCCAGAGCTGTTAAGCACTGAGAGCACAGACTTTTAGCCAACAACAACAACAGCAACAGCAATAACAACAACAATAATAATAACAACTACAAAGGGAACTGCAAACAGGAAGGTCAATGCAAACAGCGCGAAAATAAACAAAGGAAAATGAGAAGCAGCAGCAAATGAAGAGCAGAAAGCACAACACAGATAAACAGAGAAGATTGTGCAAGTGCAATTAACGGAATGTCAGAAATGAACAACGAACAGCTGAACAAAAATATAAACAGCACACCAGAAAAAGGTTCAATAAAAAGATATCACAAAGACAAACAAAATATGAAATTACAAGAAAGAGTGAAAGTAAGAGAGATGTTTATATGCTAAATGGGTATACTGAATATGCTTTAAGGGTCTTGAAACTTTTTATAAAAATTAAAAAATATTAAATTCTACGAAAACATAAGTCAAAGTTTTACTTACTTACAAACAATGGACTACGTTTAGCAATCCCTATCTCTCCCTCTCTATATATATCTCTCTCTCTTTATTGTTTCTGCGCCTGGAACTTCACCAAAAGAGCTGTGAAAGTTTTTGAAATACTAGGCGAAGATGTTAGTTAGATTAGTTTATTAGTGTGACACTGTTGAATCGCTGTTGTTTAAAATAATTAATATTATTAT